TTTACAAAATATGTAAAAAAAAAAGAAGAAATCTCCAGTATAAATAAGCCCTTTTACATAATGGATGTGTGTCATCAAATCAATGTTCCTTTTCCTCTCCCAGGTTATTCTGCAGGGGTAAAACTTGTTATATGAGTTCTCCATAGTGCTGCTTTGTTCCGCTAATTAGCCAGTGAAACCCATGTCTTACCTCATGAAATTCACTTTTAAAGTCATTAGTTAGCTGTGTTTTCTAGGGATACAATTCTTACTATTATGTGTGCTATTATCGTCTTAACAAATACAAAAAAAGAACTACGCTCATAGATACACAACCGGATTGTTTGTGAGTTTGTACGTTTTCATGTGTCTACCTTGGGATCTAAAATTACACTATTAGCCAGAATACTGCAGGATTTCTATTTCTCCACTGATTCCCTTGTATACAATTTTCATTCTCACTGGGTGAAATTGTTAAAAGCTAATTTCTGATTTTTCGGGTTTCTGTGACCAAAATGCGATGATTACCTATCATTGTAGGAGTATTTGAAAGAAAATAAGCAACCCCATAGTTTAAGCCAAAGTGTAATCGAATCATCTGTTATCTCTTTTAAAGTATAATACACTGCCATTCAGAGTTAGTATACAAGATTTATAGTAAGCCGTACAGGGAAACTAAAATTGTTCATTTTTCTTTGTAATATCTGCACTCACTGACATAGTTGCACCTCCAAACAGATAATCCCCCAAAATATAAGGATGACACTGATAAGGAAGTAGACAGAAATAAAAAAGGATGTTTCGAACACCTGGATATCTCGTGTCTGAAGAGAAATGATTTCACGCTACATCATTATTGTACTTAAAGTGGAAGGATACACTGAAGAGACAGGAGAGGTCATTTCCAAAGCAGGCAGTACAATTGGCCTGGATTTATTTAAAAATGAGTGAGGCCGAGCTTCAGGTGCATTCATACAGCTCTCCAAGGACTTTGATCAAGACCAGAATCTCCATGACCTCATTTCAAACTCAATATTACAATACATAGGGCACTATTTTGAAAGTGTGCTTTATCTTGGTTTTCCCACATAGCTGCTGCTTCCATTTACCCTTTATAAAAGATAGTCCCTAAATCATAACCAAAAGATCTTTAATGTGTTATTCTTTACTTTGCAGCTGATTCATTTTTAATTCACATTAGTTTAACACTTAGTATATTTCAAAGGAAAGGTTTGTCTGATTAAGTACAAATTTGTTTTAAATAGTTTCACCTTTTTTCAGGCCTTTGCAGTACACTTCCATGTGTTAAAAGTGTGCAGTCATAAAAAGTCTCATAAACAGAATGTGTAGGAACTCCTGGATTTGTGCTATGGCTCGTTCCCATGGTGACAGGTGTAATAACCTCAGTAAGGACAGACCAGTCACTGTTAAATTGTTACTCTTAAATATGATTTTCTTAATTATCAAACAGTGATATTAATTAACCTCAATGATCTAGATGTCTTCACCTGTTTCAGTGCAGGATAACAACATCCACAGTTCAAACCCTTCTGAGTTCATCAGGTTGGGAAGTGCAAACAAGCCCATCCCAGCTGAAGCTCAGCTGCGCCCCCCGGGCACACGCAACAACATGTCCCTCAGTAACGATCAACGCGATACTGAGCCGCGTTTTCTGGGGCAAAAACTACGCAGCGATCTCCACACAATTCACTTCTCCACTGCTCAGATTTCTACCAGCTGCCTCTCTCCACACCTTGTAGGCGAAGTGTATGGGACAAGGAAAGTCAGTTGGTGAAGATCGTTCATCTCCGCCTTGTGCGGTGTGAATAGCACGATGGACTTGGCTCCAGTTGTTAACGGACATACATCTTTTAGTTGCCTGTATCGCCATTCCCACTAGAAGGTGGAACAGTGTCTGGTATATACTATATGCATATAGCACTTACCCATTCAGGGTGACATTTATGTGCAGTAGGCCTTCCTGCTGCCGTTATCCATCCATCTCAATATGAAATGGCCTCCAAGCTTTCATTCCTCCGATAAGCTGATTTTTTTTTTGTTTAAATTTCACATTCCCTTAGGTTACCATTTTTTTTCATTGCTTTTCTCCTTCAATATTCTTGTCTATTGGGAAAAAAAAATACAATTTTAAGCATCATCCATGTAGAACTTCATAGTTTGGTGATGATGAAAATGAATTTCAAACACCATTCTTACAGCACCCTTCAACAAGACGCACATGACTTTATCATTGCATCTATATTTGGAAATGCACACAGTGCAGCAAGTATTGTCATATGATATGTGTTCAACAAAGTGCTACAGTACCTCATCATAGGTCCATGGTATACCATAAAAAAATAAATGAATTAATAAAGCCTGAATAATAAAGAAATCTACTCCCCAAAGTCTCAAAATATCCAAGTTCCTATTAACACTGCAGAAACAGAAAATCCTTCAATACTGTGTAAATAGTTCTATCAAAAGCAAGCGTAAAAGGCATATAAATGATTTTTAGAAAAGTCCCAGTTGAATAGGCTTAGTGGAGTACAGTATTTATAGCAAACTTGCAGTGTAATGCAGCTGAGATTGTGTAATGATGTTCAAAGCAGAAAGCCTTTCTTCACAACATTCTGATGCAGCACTAGTGATAGAAAGTACGTACAAAAGGATGACTCTAAAAAAAAATATTTTGCATATTTCTGTACTGGGAAAAATGAGAAAAATGGCAAAAAAACGCAAAAAGCTCAGAAGAAGGGGTGTAGAAGAAATATCTTGTCAGTCACATTTACGTGTTTTTTTGATACAGCTGTAAAATACAAGACATAGAAGATTCCATCTAGGAGTTTTGCTGCTGAGGTTCGTCAAGTGCAAGGAAAATGACAATTGTCCAGGAGAATGTCTTATGACAGTAGATGCTATATTCTATGATTGAATATTTTTTACCACGTGTTTCCTTACAGAGTAAATCTGAGCTCCTTCCAGGAGGAAAGTGATTTAGGCTCACGAGATTTAATTGCAGTAGAACTGAGTTATCTTTTATTCTCACGACTATTAACCTGCTCAGTTTGCACAAGTGATTGATTTATTGTTGTATTGTATATACGTATAACTTTTTAAAAATTGTATTACTGTGAGGGTTATTTAAAGCCTCTGACATTTTTATTCTTAAGTGTGTATGTTTTTTTTTTGTGAATGGATGTGTGTTGTGTTATCATGTATTGCATGTCTTTTTTCCTGCCTGCAAAGCAAATCTGTGACAAAAGAAGTAAGTCTAAATTAAAATCACAGGTTTTTAGTAACTTGATAAATTAAAGTTTTTAAGCATTATTTCCACATCATAAAACTGCCATTGTTGTAAAGTGACGTAGTGATTTGTTTGACTATACTGTACATCTTATAACGATACCCACTGCATCCCTTTCCATACTGTGTATACAAAGAATAGGAAAATTGCTAATGCTTATAGGAAGCTTCTTATGTGCTTCATATATTTTCAGGTGCCTTTCGTGGTGCAACATGTCTGTCTTGACACATTACTTATCTTAATTTCAGGAATTGATTACTTAGTACCCTGCTCTGAAGACTCTTTCATGGCGATCGTTGGAGCTGTGTGAAATTAGTCTCTCAGCGGTTTTACAAGCAGGTGGAGAGCTCTAAACATCTAATGAAGTCATTTAAGCACGTACTGAATCACTCTCAGGAGCACAAGTAGTGGTCACAGATGTTGTTGTAGGCCCTGAGTCTCATAGCTTCTGAGGCTCTGGTCGAGAGTTTCTGAGCATTTAATTTGAAGCCGAGTATCCTTGAATGAATTGAACATGAATTCAACACCCATGTGTCTAGACTAAAATTGCATCTAAAATACATTTTTGCCTGTTGATCCCTGTTTTTGTGCAATAATGGATGCAGCACACTGTAGTGATGAACAAGGTTCATCCTTAATATCAGCCTCTTTCTCAAAGCAACCAGAGAAAATTCACACACAATGTCACAATAAATATGGTGTCCATCAACAAAGCTGGGATAGAATACAATTTTCACTGCCGAGTATTTACCGTGGATATTCATGAGCCTCCTAGGTCCAAATGGATTTCCAATGAAGATACCTTTCTGGAGTTTGTTGTTGAGTTGTGCATGCTGAAGTTAAAATATGAAACACAATACCTTGTGCCCTGCAGAAACTGAAGTCCTGTCTAAGCTCTATATACTTATATTGCTGTTTTTGTACAGCTTTTTGTAGGTCTGTGAGGTTCATCTTCAGTCTTCAAATTCTTTTCATTCATTTTAAGATGATAGCCATTGTTTCAGAGCTATAATGTAGAGCTTTGAATCTGATCTGACTGTAAAAAATGTTAATAGAACATATTATAACTAATTTAATTGCTGTTTGTCCAGACCATTTATCCAATTAGATTAGAGTGTGCCATTTTAAATATGTTGTTTGTTCTTAAATGCACATTCTTTTTAAAAAGCAAAGCACCAGTTGAAAATAATATATTTATAATAAAAATAATTATATTTATAATAATAAAGTAAAAACAAATTAAACATGTTTCCACTGAGATTCATTTAATGGTAATAACAATATGTAATAATTTGTGTTATCAAGCATAGCAAAAAGCTAGGATTAGTTCTGTCACACTAAATTAGGTTTAAAATCACAGCAGAAAAAACAAGCAGTAGCACATAGTCCTTGGGTACAGACTCATGTCTGGGGTATGGACTGCAGCAACTTCTGTAATAGTCAGAGAGTGTGAAATACTTAGATTTGTATTAATTATCCTTATCCGACTTACATGTGTTTGTTCCCGAAAAACAAGTTGGTGTTTTCACCTGGAATCCTGTTAAGGTGTTGAATGAGAGTTGTGTGGGCCTGCCCTTCAGAGGTACATCTTCATAAAATATATACATTGTATAAATATCTATATGTATTTTTAGGGTTCAATTAGAGTGTAACAGCACTTCATATGTGTCTCATTGTATAGTCTCTTGAAGTCACTCCTGTACTTTGTTTCCAGAGATTCCTGAGGATCCACAGACAGCAGAGTTGTACTATTACGAAGACAGGTTTGAGTCATGCTCCGATGAAGAGGAGGATGAGCAGGAGGACTCTGAGGAGAAGCCCTCTGACACCCTTTACAGAACTTGTGGACAGGTCTGATGCGCTTTCTTCCCATGGCATAAAACATAAATCATTTGAGAATAAAGGAATGGCCAAAACAGTCTTTTTTTCATCTTGTGTGGTAGAAGACACAATTTTCTGCTTTTTTATTAAATTGCAAGACTTCATTTGAAAGTGGTATTACTGTACAATATTAGCAGCAAGCTTCTAAGAATATAAATTGAGAAATTGCTCATAACAAGAAATTACAAGGGTATTGCATTCATTTAAATTGATATTAAAGAAGTCTTCTATTTTTGTGCATCAAAACTGTTGATGTTTCAGTCAGACGTATTAGACATTAAATGCTTGTTTTTAAAATATTTTTTGTTTATTCTGAAATGTGACATGTTAGAATATGGTTTGGCATTTCCATCTTTAAAATTAAAATTAGTCTTTATGTCTGCAATGGGATAAAAAAGCAAAAATGTACTTTTAATTCTATATTTTTGCAAACTATTATACACTGTTTATAGTAATACATATATGCTAATTTAAATAATGACAGTATATTGAAACTTCTTTTTAAAAATCAAATTACGAACTTCAGACTGCGATTGTCAGTGTTGTGTTAATTTTTGCAAAGGATAACGAAAAATACTTTTTGATTAGTTTGGGTTTTTTTTAGTTGCAATGAGCAACTATCATGGGATTCATTATAGTCAAAGAGTTAGACCCTTTCAAAAAATACTCCTCCAGAGCATGTCAAGAATCACTGAGGTAATTAAGCAGAATTTGATAATCAACCCAAATGTCTGAAGATACAGCTGGGTGTAATTGGCTGACTGGATGCTTGATTGATGAAGTTAAAAAAAAAAACACTTTAATCTAAGGCAGTGAGATTTTGGAATTGGATTTTGATCACCAAAAGCACACTCTGAACAAAGCACACAAGTTTAGAATATATATTTGTTCGACTTTTAGAGTTAATTGAACTAGACCTCTAACTGCTGAAAACCTAGACTTGCTAGACTGTGTAAGAGAGATATTTTGCAGTTTAATGGAAATTTTTCAGGATGCATATGTTACAAAGGAAGATATAGTTTTCGACATTCATTTTTTATGTGTGCAAAACCTGCACCTTTGGAATTGTTTTATGGAGAAGAGGAAGGCAAAGATCCTTCTTTTCTATATGATACCAATTAATACCAGTTCAGCACATTTACCACCTAATTTACCCATTTGGGTGTGAACATGTGGCATTTGCTGAAAATAAGAATTAGTGAACACATATAAGAAATAGGTTGTGTAATAGAAATTGTGTGCACACACTGTAAACAGTAACGCTAGGGATTGTTTTATGTAAGCGGTCATACGTTATTTTGTTTTCCACTTGGATTGCTATGTAGACTGATAATATCTCTGTATAAGGAGAGCTTCAACATTACTGCACATTGTCAATCCAATTCCAAGACCGCTTGCGTGGATCAATGTGATTTTGGACTTGCGGAATCAGTGTAATCATTACTGATATTTCAAATCGATCTCTTAAGGAAGAATGATGGCTTCTTATAAAAAGAAAGACTGGTGGTTTAATTGGTAGTCTTCCATACAACTCGAAGGGAAGCTCTGGTGTTTTTTTACTTCTCTTCAGTTTTGGAGATCTGGTTTAAAGCCTTGTTTTTAATCATAGGAGATTTAAGTCTAATTCTGTTGATGAATAAGAACATTTTTTGACTTAACTGTTTTTCCTTTCTTTTTTTTGACTGTTTAAATAGCACGGTTTTAAATAAATGTTTTTACAGTAGTTCTCTGGGACGGATTCATTGTGTTTTGTCTTGCTATATTTTGCTGAGACAGATTAATAGCTCCCCGATATACATTTTGGTACTTTTGATTTTTTTATTCGCTGCTCATCAGAGGGCATAATTCAGTGTCTGATTGCTTATTCAAAAGGAAAAGAGAGAGAACAGTTCTGTTCTTGGTGAACGTTGCTTCATATAGGTATTGTAGCTGCTGCCTATGGACTTGGTTTTAACATCTGTCTCCTTGTAATGATTGGTTTACGGTATGTGAATCTCTTCCAATCATCTATCGACTGAGGTAAAACCCTTGAGCGAATATGAACAAATAACTAGAACAGTCCTAAACTAGAAGCTGCTTGTCAAGCCTCAGCATTGAAAGGGAAAACTATTATCACAAGATTTACAGGGCACAAGTTAGTGGACAAAGAGATCAGTATAATGCTAGTGTAAGACTTTTGGCTTCTATTAGATGGCCATAGACTGCTCCTCATCTCAGTTTGTGAATTTAAAGTTTTCGTCTGATAGTACAGTAGTTTGACAGAAATTTCTAAAAATAAATACAAGCTTGCAGTAAAATATTAGCCTGCTTTCATCAGTATACTTAATGTACTCAAAGATTCTGGCAATAGAATAAAAGTGCACCAGTAAATATTCTAATATAAATAGCTAACGTCTTAGGATATGGGTTGGATTATTATTGGATGTACATAACTCACAGTATAATGCACATATTGAATTATATTAATTAGAATTTTTACCTAGTGGATTATTTTCCAGTAGATTAAATTCCAACACTCTATGGCAGGCCACATGTTGAACTTGAATACATGATTAAGTAAACAGCGCACATACTGTAACTCCACCTATGCTATAAGATCTCTATTTTAGTGAACATTTGCGTGTTATAGTTCAGTACAACCTGAAGACTGAATAGAGAAGAAAGGTTGGGGGAAATTGTGCCTAAACAGAGAGTGAGCAGTTGACCTTTGTTGACTGAAATGAGCTGATCTGAGTGACCTTTCTGTGCCCCACTCAGGACACCGATGTAGAGGCCATGGTGAAGTGCTTGGAGGATGTTCTGGAAAGCGAACACAGTAGTAAGTACTTTGTATCGATGTGCTTGGGTAAGATGAAGTTGGGGATTGAGATTTCAGTGTGAAAGACACAAATACAAAATACAATTTAAAAGCTCTTTTTTTTAAATATGAAACTTGTATATGTCCCTTTACGAAACCAACAGCGTTTTTAAGAGAAGCGTTTTTCACTGATATTTTATTTTTCACTCCTGTACACTGATGAGGCTACATTGTACCATGGAATGGATCGGGCGACATGAGAAAATAGGTCTCAGACTTACCCTTCAGAAGACAACAATTCTCCATCAGCAAGCCGGGAAGCCTAATCAAATAGAAAACGCTATGATTAAAACCCCCTGATATATGTAAAATACATAAGAAATGTCTGTTTCGTTATCTTTTTTTCATCAGAATGGGTAGAAAAGCCTCTCTCACTCCCACCTAAACTCTTGTTGGCTGCCAATTAAAACTTGTGGAAGAATCATTCTAATTTTTCGGCATTGTGTTGTGCACCGGTTTTATTTGGCAGAACGTGACCCAGCCTGACAAGGGGAAGTTTATGAGGATGCAGACTTTCATTTTTGCTCTTTTGAGTGCAAAATCCTGCTTAGACTATTGGGGATAGCAGATATTTACTTTTTCTTTTCAATTTACTATTTCAAATTTACTTTTTATTTTGAGACAAGGCACATAGCTTTATTCCCAATTGCTTTCTGCCATGCATGTTTTTTTTTTCAGTTGCAACTTAGGCATTATTTTCCTCTCTTCAGTTTGTGTTGTCTGTTTTCTTCAGAACTTAAAAGCCTTTTGGACAGCTCCACAGAAGCAGTGGTAGGGCTGTTTTAAGAATGTGTTTTTTTTAATTGAATATTTTTTTAATAGAACAAAAAATGTGCAAAAACGTAAGAAAAGGCATCTTTAAAGCCAGAAGCATTTTCAAATCACACCACAATTCCTTTATTTGAATTCCCTAAGGTGTTTTAATGTCATATCCTCTAGGATATCAACTTTTACAAGAACTGCACTGAAATTGTGAACTCGGGCATTCCTTTTTATATAGACGTGTAGCAGATGTCTATGGAAACTTAATTTTCACCAGCTCAAGGCCTGTGTTGCCTCAAGTTCTGGGCAACTTCAAGGTAATTTGAGTGAACTTGAATCCACTTCAGTCGGGTGGTCATTCAAATGAAGTATTACTTGATACACAGTGTCAATGGTTTGAGTATTTCAGTCCTTAGCATATGACTGGGGCTTCTATATTAAATGCAACAGCAGCACAGCAAAGACATGGCTAGATCACACAATATGAGCCGCCAATAATCAAGGCACACCCGATGTTTGAATGATTTTTATGCTTATGTGTAATGCCACCGAAAAAGATAATGGATTCATATTGTAGGATTTAAATTTTTAGATGTATTTACCAATGAAGCTTCTGTGCTGTATACAGTATATTGTGGTCAGAGTGCATATGATGAAAACCATAGCACCTATCAAAACATATAGCAGATATTATTAGAGGTTGCATTTTTATTGTGGTTCAGGTACTTTCACAAAAGTAAAAAAAAACAACAGCCTTTCTAAAAGCATTATATATCTCAGAAAAAAGTATATATCTCATATGTTGTACACATGGTGACATTTTAGGTCTCCTGCCCATTACTGAGAAAGCAGAGCAACCTTTAAAAAAGCAATATATTTCTCAGTGCAAAACTAATCTTATTTCCATTGAGCCTTCAATTTTCCTTTCCTCAGAACCACCAATATAACTTGTATAGAACCTGCACACTATATTCTGTGTTATTAAAGGTCTCTTCTATCACTTACTGAAGTTGCTTTGAACTGGCTGCTTATGAGTGTTTGCTGGTGAGTTTATTTTTGTTTTTACCTCAACAATTAAGATTAAGAAATGTCAAAAGTTTTTGAAAAGTAACAACCAGTTGGAATGTCCAGTGTGCAGTATTTTTAGATCGTCCTGATAGTGCAACTGTTCTTGATGTAAGTTTGAGAAGTTACACAGTGTATGTGATTGCGTTGTATTTATTGACTAATTGCAATACCCAAAGAAGGCTCCACAGCTCCACAGTGTTTATTTTCTTCTCTTTTCCGCATGGAATAAACCTTTACTTGTTCCTTTATATATACATGTGTGCTTACACATACACAAAAATACCAAAATGCAGATGAATATACAGTATTTGCAATACAGTATATGTTATATACACGGTATAAACTGTATAATCTAGTATGTGTTCCAGTTTACAATGTATTGTATCAGTTTCCTGAGGCTTATTCTGTTTATAGTCAATGATGTAATTACAGGAACCACTAGTTTTTCTTGTCCGCTCTGCGTGTCAGCGAACGGTTTTACTCGGATGTGTTGACCAGCAGGCTCTGGTCGTCTCCTGGACTTGAGTCGAAAGTTGTCTTGACGTGAACGTAACGCATTTCTCTCACCAACAAGGATCCCGTGCCGCCAGCAGGAAGCCGGGCGCTGTACACGCCTCACCTTCCAAATGTCCATCAGTGACCTTTTGCTTTGTTGACTCTGAAAAACGAAAACTCCC